TCTGGCGTGGTGGCACGTGACCCTGTGGGATGAGAGGCTAAATTTCGGAAAAACGATATGAGGGGATGGGGGATGACATAAGGGGATGACATAAGGGATGACATAAGCCTTGCTAAAAGTCGGGCTCTTGTGGTCCCCACAAGGGGGGCCCTCGGTTTATCTTAAGGAATTCTATATGCGGTATATGGATCTTGAACCACAGGTAGGTACTACCTATGTAGGTACCTGCCTCATAACCTTTTATCTTGGTGAGTCGAAGCACTTGCGGCTGAAGTAACTCCCTTAGGTACCTCGTACCTCAGATAGTTGCTACGACAAATTCTAAAGCCCCTTCCTTCTTTCTCTCCTCTTATTTAGAGTTGAGTGCCGTATTGGGCAATCACCAACTCGCTAGCTACCTAGGTAGGTAGGTACATATGCGGACAGCTTCACCTTACATGTAGTGGATGCGGTGTCAATATTGAACTTCCTACATTACATCTCACAACCTACTAAACTGAATAGTAACGATAAACACAATATCTACAATCGCAACCAAGACGCGTCAAGATGCGTTTCCTACAGGCACTCTTCACTGCCATCGGCCTCATAGTCTTGGCCGAAGCTGCGAAGCATCACCTTATAGTCGGAACCTTTAGTACCAACTTCCTCTACACTGTCGAGTATGATGACGCGGCCGAGACCCTGAAACTCGTCAAGAATACTACCACCAACGCAGGTAGCGCCTGGATCGCTCTAAGCGTAAGTCTATAACCTAAAAATATTAAACTGAACAGTGACAGTCACACGTTCCTGGACTAACTTGCAATAATCATAGCATGACAAGAAGAACTTGTACGGAACCGACTGGAACGCAGACGAAGCTTCTTTCGTTAGCTACAGCCTGAAAGATGCCAAGTCTATTAAGTACGAGACTAGAGTGTTCGGAGATCCTGAATGCCGAGGCAAGAAAAGCATCTTCGTCGCTGCTTATCCCAAAGCACCCTATAGGTATGTAACATATGTCTTATTCCCTTATATATGCCTTATCAAATTGCTAACCCCCATCCCCACAGTGTGTATGGCAATTATTTCTACGGTGATGCGAAGTGCGGTATGGTCATGTCGGTATATGACAATGGAACTCTTCACGCCGCACTACAACAGTACGAGTACGCGGACGATTCTGCTGTAACTGGAACCTCATTCAGCGCTGATTCGAAGTACCTCTACTCGGCCGATGACGGTGGTAACTCCATCTGGGTCCATGCCGTCACCGAAAACGACGGCAGTCTTAACTTCCTCTCGCGAGTTGACATGCCTGTGAAAGGTGCAGACCCTCGTCATATTTTCGCCCACCCGAAAGGGCAATACGTCTACACCGTCTGGGAGGGAACTAGCGAAGTTGCGCAGCTCATGACCAGCGACCTCGGCAAACTATATCTCCTACAGCAAACGTATCCCCTTATCAAGGACGGTGACAAGGCGTCAGATTTCTGGGCTCACGAGGTTGCCCTTTCCGCCAACAACAAGTACCTCTGGGCAAGCAATGGCGCATCCAATCCGAACCACAAGGGATACATTTCAGCTATCAGTGTCAACGACGAAGGCCTCCTCGGCGACCAGCTCTTCCTCACCCATACTACCTCAAGCGGTGGTTCTGCCAATGCTATTGCCCCAAGCTCGTTCGACGACAGAATTGTTGCCACAACTGATAACTCGACAGGCTTTGTTGAGATATGGAAGATGAATGATGACAAGTCTGGGGCAAAGGTAGTAGCTCATCTAGATATTGACGACGGCGGTGGATGCTGTGCCAACGCTGTTTGGTACTCGTAGTTTTGTTACGATGTCTAGTCACTTCTCAGTTGATTGGCTTTCATTGATGCAGGTGGGGTAGCTATGTAGCATCTCGTAGATAGATGCATCTGAGCAATACAAAATGACTTGCCATATCATCCTACTTCTGTGCTTATAAGCTTACCTTATGCCAAGACAATTATATTGCATTCATTGATTGCATAAACTTAGCATGGGGTAATAATCGCGTGCAAAGCGGGGAGCGGTCTTACGTAATAAAGCCTCTTATCTCACTAAATATTTCCTTTTAGGACTCGTCAAACCTGAAGCTTTGGACTTGAGACTAGCTTCATTGTTACGCCTACATTTGATCTATTATATTATATCGAGCGGGAATATGACCTCGAGCGTCCCGATGGATCAGCAAAGGATTTCAGTGCTTTTTGTTTGCCTTGGCAACATATGTAGATCCACCATGGCTGAGGGAGTCTTTCGATCTATCGTGAAGGATCGGTCATCTCCCTACTACAATCTCGTAGATAGAGTGGATTCTTGCGGGACAGGTGCGAATAACTACTATGTCTTATATATAGTCCTTGCGACCTAGGAGGTCCCGTGCTAATATTATCGTAATAGGTGGATACCATACTGGCGACGAACCCGACTCTAGAACGATGTCAACCCTCGAAAGCCACGGCATTACGAACTACACGCACGCAGCGCGTAAGGTTAGTCTGAATCTAGGATCTAGTCCCATCAGTAAGATACGGCAATGAGGCTAATCTATTAAATGGTCTACAGCTCCGTGATAGTGACTTTCGAGAATTTGACTATATATTTGCAATGGATAAAGCGAACCTAGAAGATCTCAATCGATGGAGGGGTAGAAGCAAAAATTCTTCTACCTCTAAGGCGCAGGTAATGCTATTTGGCGAGTTCTCCGGCACGGGCCGTAAGGAAGTAGTGCGAGATCCTTACTACGTCGGTCAGGATGCCTTTGAAAAAGCATATGAACAGTGCAAGAGATTCTCGACAAACTTTCTAGAGCAAACATTTCCCGATGCCGGTAAGACGACGGCATGAGTCTGATAATACCCAATATTTGTTTTCCTGTCTAGATCATAGGCGGGCCAATAGACGTTATGAGCATACGACGGAGTCTGTGGATAATGACAGGATCTATAGAGACGAGTAACGATAGATCATGTCTGGTAGTCCTCTTCCGTAGGTAGTTCTATTACAATATCAGCTGGGCAAATATAGATCAAGCTCCTGAGTACCTGGGCTGGTAGGGTAATAGAAACAGAGAGTTGCTGTCGTCTTACAAGCTGCAACCTGCAAGCTGCAACCTTGAGATTGAGGCCCTGATCGGCTCGAATTTTAAGCTATGCTTACAGAGAAAATAAATACACGTCGGTCCCACATATATTGTATGGGGCTGCGATGTACCAATCTTCCCTACTTCCATTTGATCTATGATTATGTAATAAAGCTGATTTTGGACTACCTATTTTACCTACCTTATATAATCTGTCTTTTTACCGACAACTTTAGGTAGGATCTCTGGTCAATTTTGATATCCTTGAGTAGCCTGAGAGCTGTGATTGTAGCAAATATAAACGCTTTCTTTTTCCGGTCCATTTTAGTCGAGATATCGTTGAAAAAGGCTTGAAAATAGCCTCGAAAACGTCTATTTTTTGCTGTAAGATAGGTTTACCAACCTGTCTTATTTCAAGGTGGCTTACAGAGCCCAAAAAGGTAAAAAGTGGCCCGCTAAACCTTTTTAAGCCTAGTATATTACCCTTACTAGTGCGGTACATAGCTTACAGGGGCTTACAGCAGTTTTTATGGGCTCACGAAAAATTAGCGCTTGAATCACTGCCCAAATAGGCAAAGTGCTACAGGGGTATTTTTTTTTAGTACGATTTTTTATTCTGTAAGCCCTTGTAAACGCTGTAAGCCTACCTTAGAAAATCGAGCCGATCAGGGCCTGAATCTATTTATGAAACAAGCCAATAAAGTTGGCGAATGCCCGTTGAAAGTTAGAACAGTGCGGATCTAAGTCGTATTGGTGTAAGATTTTTGGGGGCTAAAATGGAATCTTCCCTCAGCCTCAGCTCAGCCCCCTAGAATACAGGACGAGGAGTATCACATGTTTATCGACAAGCTTTGCGTCTTTTGTTAAGATGGTTTCTGCCAACTTATTCTGATTTATGATTTAAGTGTTGGATAAATATATTAAGCCTTGTGATTAATGACTACCTGAGGGACCTAGGTATTTATTACATGCCGTATACCGACGTTGAAAATTACCTATTCTTGAAATTACCTTTTTCTTTCATGATGCGGTCTAATCACTGGCCTGTAGCTAGGTACCTAAGGCGCTTAAGGCGAACAAGGGGCTCGTTGGCGCTGTTTTCATTGGAACCGAAAATAGCGGGACGGGGCTCGAAAAGTGACCAACCACAGTTGGTATCGACTAACCGCTGCCATCTTGCGGGGAATATCTCATTTGTACCTTTAACCATTGGTGGTACCTAGGACTAGGTACGTACTTTGTTAGGCGACGGACCCCTCGCGCCCCACCAATCTGCCCCATCCCCTGAAGCCTTTGGGTCTACATGCAACTTCCCCTCCCCCTCGACTCCTCGACTCCTCAAGATGACTTGCCCATTTGAGTTACACAGCGCATATTTTCTTTCTTTGACACATCACCGTCGCTATTCTGCCTTGGGGGTCATTTTGATCTTTTCTTTTTATGCTACCCCTTGGAGCTACATCGCCCCATTAGTTTCATTAGAAGTTTGGTCGACGTAGTAGTTTTGCAAGCCGTCTTCCTTTCTTGGGGGTTTATTATTAAATAGTATCCCGTCCCATCACATCGTCCATAAGCTTCGCTTATTATCCGTTCATCTAGTCGTCTCCCGTCAGCTTTGTCGTCATTATATCTATTAACGATCGGCTTTCTTCTTTGATACTTAGATACCGGTTCCATTGTTAAAGAGGTCCATCGATTCCCGATTGGATTATTGCCGTCCTTTGCTTTAACCAGACACAACGTCGAACCGATTCTTGTCGCAACCCAATTCGAGTAACCAAGCCCATATTAAGCGCAAAACCACAGATAATCTCCTAGAATAAGAGCGACCCTGAAGCTTAACTTCCATCATGTCCGACCTACAAGGACGCAAAGTCTTCAAGGTTTTCAACCAAGATTTTATCGTCGATGAACGGTATACCGTCACCAAGGAACTAGGACAAGGAGCGTACGGTATTGTTTGGTGCGTGCGCGGTTTAATTCAGGCCCTTCTCTGCCATAAATTCGGCGTAGAGTAGCTAATAGTTCGTTTACCATGAATAGCGCTGCAGTAAACAACCAGACAAACGAAGGTGTGGCCATCAAGAAGGTCACCAATGTCTTTAGCAAAAAGATCCTAGCTAAGCGCGCCCTGCGCGAGATCAAGCTCCTACAACACTTCCGAGGTCATCGCAACGTAAGACGTCGCTGTGCTTTGTCCCGTAATGCTGGATCCAGCAGCTATTAATATTGCAGAATGGGATTGCTGATATATTTGGATACTCAGATCACATGTCTTTACGATATGGACATTCCTCGACCGGAGAACTTTAACGAGACATATCTATACGAAGGTACGGAGCCAGCCTACACTACTAACAGTCCTCCTGCTTACTGGCTCGTTGCGCAGAACTAATGGAATGCGACTTGGCTGCTATCATTCGTTCCGGACAGCCCCTTACCGACGCCCACTTTCAATCATTCATCTACCAGATCCTTTGCGGCTTGAAATACATTCACTCGGCAAACGTCCTACACCGCGACCTGAAGCCGGGAAACCTACTTGTCAATGCTGATTGCGAACTGAAGATTTGCGACTTTGGTTTGGCCCGTGGCTTCTCGGTTGACCCTGAGGAAAACGCCGGTTATATGACTGAATATGTTGCCACGCGATGGTACCGTGCGCCCGAGATTATGTTAAGCTTCCAGAGTTATACCAAAGCTAGTGCGTGGATACCTTGCCTTGATTATGGTACCAGTTATTAACCTCTTTTAGTTGACGTTTGGTCCGTGGGGTGTATTCTCGCCGAACTCCTTGGTGGACGACCCTTTTTTAAGGGACGCGACTACGTCGATCAGCTCAACCAGATCCTCCACATCCTTGGAACACCTAACGAAGAGACCCTGCTGCGCATTGGTTCCTCTCGCGCCCAGGAATATGTCCGAAACTTGCCGTACATGGCTAAGAAGCCTTTCCCAACCCTATTTCCCAATGCTAACCCCGATGCGCTGGACCTCCTTGATCGCATGCTAGCGTTCGATCCATCTTCACGTATTAGCGTCGAACAGGCCTTGGAGCATCCCTATCTCCACATCTGGCATGACGCCTCTGACGAGCCAGACTGCCCCACCACCTTCAACTTCGACTTCGAGGTTGTTGACGATGTAGGTCACATGCGCGAAATGATCAAGGACGAGGTGTTCCGATTCCGACAACTAGTGCGCACCGCACCAGGAAGCGTCGGGCCGGCCGGTGGACCGCAGGCGGCGGCTGGTCAAGTGCCGATGCCCAGTGGTGGAAATTCGCAATGGAGCGCCGAAGATCCTCGACCCCAAGAATACACAAACCAGATGGGGTTAGAAGGGGAACTGCAGGGTGGCCTCGACGCTAGCGTTAGAAGATAGAATCTCTTCTCCCAGCGTCCTTGGGCGGGGGGAGGCATCGATGCCTCCAGAACGAAGGAGAGGTGCCAGAGTTTCCCAAGGCGATTTAGCCGCTACAATCAAAAAATTAGAAGTAAAGAGTATCTACAGTGGTAATATGGCGAGGGATCCTCAAAACGCGCCTGAGAGCGTGTTTACCCAGGTATTGTCTATTTTTGGAATGGATGAGAAGGTAAATTGGGCGACACGCCCAGCACCCCTCAGCGAATGAGAATTTCACGATGAAAGAAAATGGGGTTTCACTTTTTCTTGCCAGCCAAGAAAGAGCTTTAAATTAGTAATTTTCCGGTCATGGGTTACGATGAATCTTAAAAGAACAAGCTCTTTACAACGTTGGATTATGCAAGCGTGTATTGATACTACGTCTGGGAATAGGTCGACCGAGCACGTAAGCATTGAGCCGACGAGCCCAGATGGCAACATCTGTTCGTACCTATACCTATACCTTAACACGTGCAGAGCAAGGTGATACTCTCTAACATAACCCGTACATTTGTTTATTCCTATCAGTTGGAACGAATTGAAGCTGTCTTGGCAGTAGAAAAGGCTTATGTGCCACTTGTAGGTCTTCCAGGGGAGGCTAGGTCCCTCTTTAGATACATGCTATGCCTCGTAGTTTACTAATATCAGCTGAGCTTTTATATGAATTATAAGCTGCCTGGGTGACTGCTAGCCATCATTAACCACCGTGTCTTTTGTATCAGTGTAACCCATGGTTGGTGAGCCATTGCACACACCTCTGATACTAGCCTTATCCGCATTCATCTCCAGCCACCGTAATACTCGAGGACATCAAAGATATCTGTAGGAAAGCCCTATTCGCCATCCTCGAATACCTTTTAAGCTTAAGATACGGAGTTGACTCCGAGCTTAATGAAACTCGTATCAAGATGTGAACAATTCTTAAGGACAAGCATTAGTTATCCAATATTTCTGCCATTATATATATCCCTATATACACTAGCTCTCGTGCCGGGGAATAAGATACGAAAAACCAAAAAGGGGGTATATCCTGCCTTGCTTTTGAGAGTATTATGATGTAAGGACATAGACTATACATCGAAGTCACAGAAACTCCCGATGAAAAGTAAACATAACGGTAAGGGATGCCAGTCCAGCTTAAGAATGTATCGTCGCCCACGCGACCCTTATCCCCTCCTCCTCGTGTCGCAAACCAAACCGAAACGCCGTGATCTAGCCCCAGCCCACCAGGAACCCCTAGTCCAGCCCAATAGCAAATCAGATTCACCGCCTAAACTTTTCCTTGTTGTTGCTTTCCATTTCTTATTTTTCTTTCTCTAAAACCTGTCAGGTACGCTCAATTTTCGTAGATCCAGTATTGTGCAGCGTACGGTACGCTCTGCGTCTGGCCGGCACCGCTACATGGCTCGGGGTTTCCACCGGCAGTGAGTACGCGATACACAAGGCTTACGCCGATGCTCGTGCCTTTATCGCTTAGACGTAGCCAGTCTACGGCGCCGGTGGCCGGATCGACACCCTTATCGGCGTCGCTTGGTGCTGGTACACCCGCGTCCTTTTTCCCCTTGAACAGTTCACCATCGTCTGCGCCCGATAGGTCGAACGTGGGGGTGTTCGCCGCATCGAAGAAGTGATGTCCTAGGAACTTTAGAGGACTAGGTATACCCTCTACCGTTAGGTCTGCAGGTGCCGGAAATGGAGAGCCACCTTCTGCCGCCAGATTAACTGGCATATCTGTCTTGCGTAGTACCGTAGAAGCGAAGGTATCGAAATCATCTGCGGAGAGAGAAGACGGGGAGGCTCCAGGGTACAGGTCTGTGATCTCCCATACTACTGCTAGAGCACCAAAAGATGCGGCTGTGGCCCCTTCTGCGCTGCATGTATAGTTCTGAATCCCGTGACCAACGAGGATGTGCTTCAGTGTAGCGGCGTCGGGACCGGCGAGCTGGGTACCAGCTACGAGGATGTTAGTTCTGCTGTCCTCTTGTATGAACTATATGATGTATATAAATAGGAGTTGAGTTGAGTTGATCTACTTACAACCGGTGGTGGGCAGAGTAGGGACAGCTGCCACTGGAGGCGCAGGAGCAGGGTCGGTAGGGGTCGGGATAGTGCTGTTACTAACCCTACTACCGCATCTACGTCGTAGAGGGGAGGCGGAGGTGAGAGCTAGGGCCGATAATATGATGAACAAGCTTTTGGGATACATTTTGACAGTTCTAAATTTGAGTAGAAAGATGTACGTATGATCGAGAAAAAAGGCCTTAAAGAGAGTATTATAAGATAACCGGGCAAGACAGGACGAGAACGACAGCACAAAAGTACTTTTCAACAGTAAACAGGGTAGTGCAAGCGGTAGCTGAGGACGGTGTAATGTTTCTTGGCTGGCCGTGGCCGTGTGTCGTGTGGGTGGCGGGCGAATAGCCGGCCAGCGCTTAGGGATAGAAATAGCAGTATGCGAGTTGCATGCGCGTACGGTGGTATTTCCAAGGGTATGCAATGCAAGATGCGAGAGAATGGCTTCCCGAGCCGAGATTTGACGTGGTCTGTTGACTACCTAAATCGAAGGTGGAATACGAGCCCGAAAGAGAAGAAATAGCTCGGACGTAGGAACCCAGAAAGGATGCTTAAAAAACATAAATAAAGATAGGGAAGAAACCGATGAGAGTGATGATTTTGGTAATCGTAAACTTAGATCAAGGGATTTACAAGAGTTTATATCCAACAACTTGTCTCACATATCAACCATGGACTTTCTTTCTATGCTAGTAGATCTTCCAAGGTGACAATGCAGGATGAAGTATGTACTTTGTCTTTTCCTGTCGTGCAGCAAAACCCCAGCTGGATGAGATGGGTATGTTGACGCCATGGTCAAGGGTAGGTAGTGCTTGACAGGAGCCTCTAGCCGGGGTTGAAGAGAAATGTACTTCGGGCCTTGAGATAAAATAAAATAAAATAAAACACCGGGATGGCGTCCGTAGTGTCCACGCTAGAAACGGCGTGGCGGCTGACGGGAAAGGATATCCCCACACAGCGGGAGTAGGTACGCTGGACGGAAAGCAGGTGGCTTTTTGTGCAGAATGCAAAATGCTACCCATCCTTGGAAACGAGCTCTTTGTCTGGTTGTCTAGACCTTTAAGGATTGTCCAGGGTCTAACTTATTATGTCGAGTGTATGGGGACTGGTCCCGTCGGGCGAGGATCTCCCAAAGAGCTGGGGCCTCACGCCTTGCATATTCGGGCTGTCGGATGCCTGCTAGTTTTACTTCTCAACGTACAGCCTAGGTACTCTAGTGGAAGCAGAGAAGCATTAGCTATCAGTCTTGTTCCGGTGAACCATCCGCTTTCGTAAGGTGGTACAGATCATCGCATATATTTATGTAGGCAGGCTGCAATCCTCTGCTTCGTTGGAGGCCCTTAGGATTTGTACAGTCGTATGTACACTGGCTAGGTAGTCAAGGTGGCAGTGTTGCGTTCTCCGCGAAGACGCAATGGCAGCACAGAGGGTTCGCACCCGATGGCAATAAAGCAGGAGGGGTCGACAGTGAATGTCTCTAGGTAATCCCTAGGAGATATGACGAACTAGCTTGGGTGGGTAGATTGGCATTGATTCCTCCTGCTTTTAGCCTCAGGCCGTTCAAACACGACGATGACTGCTAACAGGGCTAAACCTGGGATCGGTTGACGTTTGCAATCTTGGTAGCTGGTCTAGCAACTTGACGGGGTGGCTGAGATTTCATAATATCTCAAAATGATGAGTGACGCTGAACCCTGCACATGTTACAAAAGGCTGCTGCTCACGAAGTGATGCAGGGACAGCACAGGTGAATTGCTAGGAGGGGAAGCATGTCTAGGTCATGTTGGCTGCCGTCAAATTAATTGAGCATCAGCGCGTTTCCGACCGGGGGCGCGGCTATCTAATGGCGTCTTCTTCTAGCTACTGCTGCTGTGATTTGTTCAGTGGTCAATATTGATAGCACCATCCAAGGTACAAATATTGAATTTAGAGTAACGAGCCGCAGGGGGGGTGATTAGGATTTCATTTCGATATAACCTCTGACTGGTTGAATAGGCGACCTCCCGCTGCTCTACTACCCACCTCTAACCTAACCCCAGTCAATCGAACCGGGAGCGAAGTTGGTTGGGAAGCAATTCTCGACAGAATTGACCGGGAAATAAGGAAGGGTGTTAATGAGCAGTTCATCCAAGTTTTCCGAAGAAGTCTTAAGAGATTCCTCACAATTACCAGATCTGACAGCATAGATCCGCAATCCTGACGTGAAATCTATGTTATATAAGCTTACGAAGTTGTTAGGAATCATTTCTATCGGCAGACACTCCGAACCATTTCTAGCATCCATTATATTTAAGCGACTTCTATACTAGATGACCACGATGTATTTGTGCTACATAGGCTTGGGCTTTTGGCTTGCCTTTTATTTACTGCATACATTAGCGTCTCGAATTTTATCAGTGCTGAATACTGTCACAGAGAAAAAATCCACGCCATGTTATGACAGCATAATCGAATCTGGTACTCCCTGCATTCTTGTGCCACCTAACTGCATCAAATCGGTCCTAAGATGAAAAAAATACATATCATTATGAAGACTGAGCTTAATGCGATAATGAATCCTTCAGAATAGATGGCTATGTCCAAGCGTAGTATCGCCCAGGTAATCGGGATAATCTCAAATATGCCTAGCCCTACTGCAATATCCTATAGGTAGAGTATCTCAGGATAGTGAACCGAATTGCAGAAGCTTAGATACACGCGTTTACTAGCAGTTGGGGTGTTCCATCGATGCACCATGCCGATTCACATCAAGATACAACAAACACCTCGCATTGCTTGTTTTAATTCACATCAATGTCCAACCCCTTTTCAGAGATAGGATAGTATTTACTTCGTCTTATGCACTGGACTTAAATGAAGCTAAGGTAGTTCGGCACGCATTCGAAAGGATGTTTCGTTTCAAGCCCGTTCGCTATGTTTGACGTTTCGTCCTAGCGCAACATGGGATAGATTCCTCGTGTACTGCCTCTTTTCGATTTGCCAATCCAATATCTTCAATTCCTCAATTCCTAAACCGGTTACATGGCCACAAGGTAGTGCCTTACACCGTAGCCTTAGTATAGCGAACCCCTTTAACTCGATAGCAATACAAATAACTAATTGAATCCTTCGATGCAACCCAGGAAAAGAAAACCCCTTGCTGCCGTATGTAGGGCTAGTACTAACCTTAAGTAAACCCAGTATGATGAAACACGCTCTGATCATCTCGGGATCGGAGGTTTGAGGCGACGGTATCACAATATTGTATGTATTTGATGTTGATGTTGTAATGGCTAAGTTACAGGAGGGAGGATCTAACTTTATATACATGTGGGTACCCCACATATGACAGACGGGCTGGCTCTTAATAATCCACACATTGTTAGTCTCGACTAATATAATCTCCCCTCACCGGTAGGGAATTTACGGAGTAAAGTTACCGACGCTTCGGATCCAACAATTCAGATGGTGGTTAATGCCTGTTAATATTAACAGGGAGTACAATTAAATAACGAGGGAGGCATAGGCCAACTTCAGCCTCGAGCCTTGCTCTATTACACCTTACATAGGTAATTAAGTACTTACATACGTAACATACTACGTAACTTAGCGTTCAGAAGACCGACGAGCATCACGATCCCCCTTTAACTAGCGCCTACATTGTGTTTGATTGCATCTCGCATCGCTTTCAACACTTTTGGATTTGTAATGCTATAGCTCTATCTCCTTAGAATAGGCTAAGCCGATGATTCACTACGATATACCTGGTTTAACGCATCTGTCTTCATGTATCACACCTCAAATAAATCTCAACCCGCCATCTTTCACTTATGAGACAAATTCGGCAAGGTAGGTACTTTAGCATATTAGCTAGCTGACGAACTTCTCCCCTCTTAGTAGGTTAATCTGAAGACGACGTATTAGGAGGACACCCCTGGTCAAGTACAAGCGCGGCAACCGGCGCAAGCTGAACCAGGCGGACTTCGCATCCATTCAACTACGGAACCTGTATCGGCATTGTGCATATGGCGTTACTTGTCTTGCTATTTGAAGAGCCATCGGGTGTGTTTTTCCTTATACGGAGAGGCACATATTAGTCCGTAACAGTGGTACGAGTATGGGCAATCATTTGCTGCGGATACGCGAGTTGGCCGCGCTTGATATGCGACCATGAGCCCGCCATACCCGAGACCTCCCAGTTATACTTGGAAAAAGGATATACCTATCCCTAACTATACGCAACTGTGCCAGAGCATCTATAGGCTCAGGATAACTCAGCGGCGTTTGTCACCGCCTCGGTGATGCAGAAAGGTCGCTTAATCGGCCGCTTAAGCGGAACTTGTCAGGTAGTTTTACGTCTAGCCTAACGCACAGCCATCCACGCCGTGGGTTTGGCTTCTGACATTGAGTCTCGCTGTCGGATGCACACGATTCGCAGTGAATGCAGCTAAACACCAACAATCTGACGTCTGTGTTTGTTCTTAGCATCTTTTCCCCGTTGGGAACCACATTTCCCTTTCGATGGTTCAGTTAACATTCGGATGTAGGTATCAAGAGTCCGACCAACCATAGATATGTTATATCAATATCTTACGAGCACTACTTAATAATTTACGTCGAGGGATTGTTATTCTAGTCTATACAAGTGTGACTTCTCACTTCGGTACATACCTCCTATGCTTATGTAGTCGACTGACATTGGAGGATCAATCGGGATAGTTGAGCCAGTATCCAAAAGCGTTTTAGTATAGGTTTTTCGTTGGTAGACAACAGGTCTTGAATCTTTGACCGTAAAACCCAACTCCTTAGTCCAGTGACTCCGTCTTGCTACACGAAATTACAACCTACACGTTACGAACCCTCCATCATCCATACTACAAGAAGTTGGCCTTCGCCTAACAAATCCGCTTTGCTCTATGAGTTGAGACAATCGATAACTACTTAGGCATTAGTTTATATATATCTTTAATGTTCATATAATGAAGAGCGATAAACCATGCTACCACATAATTTCTTTCATATACAGGTACCTTTCTTACAATGATTCCAAACGCTAGTTATCACATAAGGAAAGATACTTTCGATGTGATTTAAGGGGCATGAGCCGGAATATACCTAGGTACGTAGGTAGTTATGACTTCGGTCGAAATGTACCTAACGATTGTCTCCCAGAAATTTAAAACTACTAGGCAATGCTCCCTAGCATAGGTACGCATGTATATGATGGGATACCATTCTTTAGTGACGAGAACTCAACCCGAACCGCCGTTGGTTAAAAGCTAAATGGGCGGTAAACATAACCAATACTCAACCGGGCTTCAATTTCATAAACTTATCTAAGCCGAAACTTTCACGAAGTCCCATAGCGTACCATCCCCAGTAGTCTCGATTAGCCTAAAATCATTGCTGACAGTGATCTTCCAGAGCTCATCGTCATGTCTCTTAAGTAACATGTAACCACCATGGGGGTGCTTTCTAGCACAGAAATATTCATGTTCCTTGTGATGCTTGTGTTCCGCCCAAATGTTCTTATTTGTATCGTGTCCCATATACGTCGCAGACACCGGGCTCCGGAATCCCAGCCAACCCTGAGTCTCGACGCATATCCAGTGCCATCCACCCTGGTCGCCAATATTCTCTCGCACACAAAGATTTCCTTCGACGAGAGTAATGTATCGGCCAGTATTTCGCTCCCGGATGGCGAACGTCTGGTCAGGAAATGGCGGTGTGTCTTTTGCCTCTATTTTGTGTATTGAGCATGAGCAGGAATGCTCCATTCGATCGGTACTGGACATTGTATGTGTTGGTGTTACCATGCCAATATCTGGCGTGGATTGACAGTATTCAGATTCGGGAGCAGAGCAAAGATCGGAATGCGTGGTAGACATTGATCTGGACTTTTCTGGTATTCTTAGATGTGGAAGGAGGAAAGAGGGGTTTAATATCGTGTAAGTGGGTGTAAGTCAGTCTGTCAGATAAATACGTACTTAGGTATGCAGATGACTAAATCAAACCCGAAGAAGAATACTATCGAATGGAAATATCCAGTAAGTTGTTGTTCGATCTCCAACTGTTGGTAGGTGATCCACGCCACCTGATTGGTCACCTGGCAACGGGACTGATTAGGGCCACGACTCGACAATCAACAAGGGCCACAGCATTATGACCGGTTACCCTCACATTTACGGTTTGCAAATTGGAGACCAACAGCAAACACTCTTGTTTACAATCGAGAATCGGATGTCCTTTTTTTAATGTAAAAGGAAAATCGCGATTAATATGGCATAAACAAGATGATCCTTTCCCTAATACGATTTGAGAATTTAATCTCCGGATTTCTCTAAAAGCCCAGAGTTGCCAGAGTTCCGGCAAGTTTATATTTTAGGAACACCTTGAGTGTTGATGCCCCGGCACAGACTATGAAAGGTTCATTTTTGAGCGGTGTTTATGCAATAGTACAGTACCTATAGCTATGAAGTCGAATAAAAATGACCACCAAAGACCAGAGCCTTGTTTGGCTGAGAGGATGGACAAAATATTACTTAACTTGCTTTTGCCATCTATTCGATCCTAAAAGCAGAGAGTTATACATATTGAGGGCGCCTCAGTAACCGACTCTTAACTTAAGATCCCTAAATGCCCCCATCTTGAAAACATTTGAGAAGTAAAGGTAGTTTTCTCTCTCGATTTTGCCATTCATTATGAAGAAAATTAATTTTTATGAAGATATTATTAGGTCGCAGTTAGACTTCGCGCAGCTTCAGTTCCTGCAATCCTGCCAAATACGGCACACTCGAGCAGTGATGAGCCGCCAAGCCTGTTATCTCCATGTATGCCTCCAGTAATCTCGCCCGCGGCCCAGATCCCCGGTATTGGCGTTGACTTGCCTTCATCTGCCAACCGGAGAACTCTGGCTTTCGTATCGAGCGCCACTCCACCCATTGTGAAGTGAACCACAGGCGTCACTGTCCCGACGCATACCTCTTCCTCGCGATTAGCTTCACCAGGAGGCAATTTCCAATGTCCAAAAGACTTCCTCCCGAATGGATCCTCTTCATGTTTTGAGACCATGGTTGCGTACTTGTCTATCGAGGCGATGATTTCCGGAGCAAGGTCTTTTACTTTGATTTTCTGTACCAGGCCTTTCCACAGGTAAAACTTAATGTGAGATGCTGCAGCCTCGCATGCACCTGGATCTAGAAGGAGAATTACTTCCCAGTGTCTCATTGATTTGTCCGTTGATTGCGGAAGAGCCATGATTGCACTGCTAACGACATCACGGGTATTTAGCTCGTTAACGAACCGTTCCCCATAACTAGAAAGTAGAATACCGCCTTCGCCTCGAAGAGCTTCAGCGGCTAAGAATAGTTGTGATGTACTAGTGGGTTTAGCGTCTGAGGGCTTATGAGAAGGACCATCATTCTTAGGAGGGACGACACTGTACGAAATACCGGTGCCCTTTGGGAAAACGAAGCCTGTTGGGTGAATCTGTACGCTGTCCATGTCCACAAGTGTGGCTCCGATTGCGGAGAGCAAGCCGTGCGAGGCGGGTCGTTCCTCGTTTGTGGACGGCATGCCCGCTAGGTCGGGACGATATTTGGCTAACAGGCCGTGTGCATCACCGGCAAATCCACCCACTGCGAAGACGACTGGGCCTTCAAGCTTGTGTGTCTGGCCGTCGGACGTATGGTAGCTCACTCCCTTAACCGCACCACCATCTTCGGTGAGCAATTCCTTCACTTCTGCGGAGTTCTCTAATGTGAAGTCGGGGTGGGCCTTTATCTTGTTCAACAGCGCGGAAACGATGGCTGCACCCGGGGGTAGATCTCCGCCACCACGGTGAGTTCTCGGGACCGAGTGGCCCCCAAGCTGTGCAACGACACTTAAATCGACCTTTAATTCGTCCGCAAGCCAGTTCACTGCACTCTCGGACTGGCTAGTTAGTATCTCGACTAAAGCCTTACGTTCTATGCCCGGAGGATTGTTCTCGGTAAATCTGCTCCCAGCAGAACGCACTGTATCTGCGTAGAAGCTGTCGTCCGTGGGAATATTCAGGTCTCGCTGAAACCTTGTACCTGCACCGTTGATACCCGAGGAGGCCTTGATACTATTCCCACCCGGCTTAGGTGCGCGGTCAAGCAAGCGAACAGTGGCACCCGCCCGAAGCGCTTCATGAGCAGCGGACAGTCCCGCAAGGCCAGAGCCAACGACAATCACGGGCTTCCTTGCTGCGGTTGGCATTGTCGCGAATAAGGAGTTAGATAGTCTGTGGAAAACAACGCCCGGATTAGGTCGAAAGAAGACCATACATAAGATCGCAGTGAGAAAGCCAATGAGGAAATAGATGAACAGTAGACAACGGCGGCTTCGTCTCACTCGTATGGGCATGTTTAAATGAAATTAGCTTAGGGAATAGACCACTGATTGATGGGCCATTTTTATTGCATTAGGTATTCGAGTAAGACTACTAAGTCAGCACTGGCGCAGATGACTGACATCATCGTATGATAGCTAACGATAACTTATCGTACGATGTGTGGGATGAGAAAGGAGCGCCACATCTTGTCCGTCGTTAGTTTCCGGCTGCTCAGAGCGAATTATGAGGGCCGCACAACATGACACGGACTCGGACGATGAGCCCGAATATCATCGGGTCGAAATAACTGTTAAAATACCGTATCCCCCGGGTTTTTACCACCATATTCTCGCTACGGGTTCGGTCCACCCGACCGGTACGGTTGACCAGACAAGCCACTATGCCAAAATGAAAAAAATAATCGTATACTAAACTAAAATTGGTAGGAAGTCATTTACCACATGTTGGTATGACAAGGTATAAGTGATGGTATACACTTAATAAAAAATGACATAAATGAGGCTATTACAATGATTATTATTAACTTAATAATAAATTATATGTATGGGTATTATTTGTAAAAATTAAGGTTTTATATATAAATAAATTATATATTACCACGTAATTATTTTTACATAATAATATTTTAATATAATAATTAATTAACATTTAATATTAGTAACTTTTTTTTTTTTTTTTTTATATAATGTAATTATAAATTTAATATTAACAATTTTTTTTTTTTTTTTTACTTTTAATCCGTTTTTTTTATATTATAACGTAATTGTTAATAAATTTTGTAATAACATGTAATAAATTTAAGTTAATTTAAATAAGTTAAATTAAATTAAAACGGTTAAATTTTTTATATATAATTAAATTTATATAATTGTTTTAAATTAATTATTTTTTTTAAATGTAAATTATTTTACGAAATAAACGTATTTAATAATTTTAAGGTTTTTTTAAAAGTTATTTTATTAAAAAAATAAAATTATTTTAAATTATTTAAAATTTTAATTAAAGTATTAATATAAATATAATTTTTAAAATATATAATAAAACACCGGTTATATAACCATGTCATATAATTAAAGTTATGTTTATATATATTGTTTAAAAATTAATTTATATATATATAAATAAATATTTTTTATTTAATAAATTTCCCATTTTTTTTATTTAATTAAATATAATTAATTAAATTATTTTATTTAAATTATTTTATTATTTTTTATTTTTTGTATTATGTAATATATAATAATATTATTGTTATTTTAATATTAATTAATGATTAATTTATAAGTTAATTATAAAATAATAAAAAAAAACTTGTTAAAATTTTATTATAATTTAAAATGGTAATAATAAAAAAAAGGTATATTAATTAGGAAAAATATATATATAATAACTTTAAAAATAATAATTTAAATGCAAATTAAATTAAAAAAACAAGTTTAAAAGTTATAAATATATATTATGTAAAAAGATTTATTATATATAATAATAATTTTATTTTAAATGACTTTAAACCAAAAATTTAAATTGGTTTAAAAGGTTATACTTTTTTAATTACACCATTTTTTAACCAATCATAACCCTGGAATAACCTTTTAAAACAATATCGAATTTTTGGTTTAAAACTTTATTAAAACTTACTTTTTTAAAAATTAAATTTATAACATAAAAAATCATTAAAATCATTATTATAATTATTATAATATTAACGCGTTTTTATAATAAATAATAAACTATATAATTATCATTAACTTTATTATTAAATTTATTGATTAAATATACGTATTTTAAATTAAAATTAATTATAACATTAACCGTAACACCGGTTATATCGGTCATAACGCATCGGTTATAACACGCGTTATAATACGCGTTAAAACATAATATTTAAAAAAATAAAACTATATAAATATATAAAAAAAAAGCTTAAATAATATTATTAAATTAAAATTAAAATAAAAGATATTTTATACGTAATATTATATTATTAATTAATTTATTAATTATATTATTAATTATATTAATTTTTTACCATTTTTTTATTAAATGTTTTTTTTAACGTTAAAATTTAATATATAATAACGTAATATCGTATAAATATAAAAAAAAATTAAAAAAATACAAAAAAAATTAACATTAAAATTAAATTATTATAATAAAAGTTATTTTATATATTATTGTAATTTATTAAATCGTTAAAAATATTATTTTTTATTTTTTATTAATAATTTTATACCAAATGTTTTTTATAGGTTTAAAATAACCTTAAATTTGAATTTGTAAAACGTTTCGTTTATAACTTATAAATACAATTACATAAGCCATGCGTTACGTGGCGTTTATGGCGCCGATAAGCGTGGGCGGGCGTAACCCGTTTATAAAACAAATTTAAGTTTAAAGTTATTTAAAATAATAATAATTAATATAATAAAAATCTTTAAAATATGTTTTAAATAAACTTTAATAATTAAAACGTAATAATATTTAATAAAATTAATTAATTATTAAAAAAAAATATAAAAAAATATTTTATAAATTATAAATTATATATGTTTAAAAGTAAATTATTTAATTAAAGGTTTTATGATATATTAAATATAAAAAGTTTTTCGGCGTTTTTATAAAAAGTAATAAAAAATTACGTAAAAAAAACATATTTATTTTAATATTAAATTTATAATATATTAAAAAGTTAAAAAGTATAATAAATAAATTTATAATATTAATATAATAATTGTAATTATTAAATTTATTAATAATTAAATTAAAAAAATTAAATTAATTAATATTAAAAATATAATTAAATTTATTAATAAGATTTTTAAAATAATTAATAAATAAAAGTAAAAAGGTAATAAAATTAAAAAATAATTAAAAGGTAATTAATTTATTAAATTATATAAAAAAGTTAATATTTTATTTAAAAGTAAAATTTAAATAAATAACGTATAAAAAGTTATTATTAGTAATAATTTAATAACCATTTTTGTATTTACTTTTAATAAATCAAGTGTATATATATTAATTTATTTAATTTTAAATAAATTAATTATATATAATTTAATATTTAATAAATTAACCGTATA